ATAATACTGCTTTCTAAATGCCTTTCCCACTACACTACTGCTACTACTGCTACTAAATACCCCAAAATCTACTACACTACTGCACTACAACTACTACCCCACTACCCACTCCCACTAAATGCGCTCTACTAACTACTACTGCTACTACGCTACTACTACTACTACTCTGCTCTACTAACTACTACTACTCTACTACTGCTCTACTACTAATACTGCTACTCTACTAAAATACTACTACTCTACTACTCCTACTACTACAAATCTCTCTACCCACTACAAACTCTGCCCAACTATACCAAATACTGCTACTACTCTACTTTCTACTCTACTAAATACTACTAAAAATTTCACGCTAATCTACTACACTACTAAATACTTCTACTACTACTAAATACTACTACTACTACTACAAATAAATACTCAACTACCACTACTACTACTAAATACTACACTAACCCACTACTACACTACTACTACTCCCCAAATACTACTACACTACACTACTCCCACTACTACTACTACACTACTACTACTACTACACACAAATACCCACTATACTAAATATACTACACTACTACCCACAAATACTACTACTTTTCTACTACTAAATACTACACTACTATTTCTAAATACTACTACTACTACTACTCACTACTACTACTAAATACTAAAATACTACTACCTACTACTACTACTCTAACTACTATCTACTACTACCACACATACTAAATACTCTACTACTACTACACTACTACACTACTACTACTATACTGCTACTACTACTACTACTACTACACTCTACTACTATACACTACACTACACTACTACTACTACGCTATTTAAACTACTACACTACTACTAAAACTACTCTACTACACACTACACACTACTACTACTACTACACTCACTCACTACTACACTACTCACACAAACACTACTACTCTACTACACTACTTCACTATCATCGGGTAGATCTATCAGCGAAACTCAAAAAAATTTCAAATTTTTGCTTGTCTTAAATAATTACTTGATGTGGCTGAGGTCAAGAGGACACCGGGTGCATCAGTGTGATGAAGACTTGCCGGTAAGAGGTCAGTAACCGCAGGAAATAGACACAAGATTGTCTATATATCGACCTTCAATTGAGATCCTCTTCAGCAGATAAGGTTAACTCAGCCACCACTCTAGATGGGTATAGATGAAAAGATTTTAGCTCCTGTTAATGTGTACTCAATTGGATGGTGGAAATTGTCGTTCCAGAGATAAAAAGCCTTACATGCAGTGAGGCCCACTTATAATAACCAACTTTAGTTTAACTTACGAGAGGGAACTGGAAATATGCAACAAGAATGAAGTAAAGAGGACATTTATAATTGTATGCCGAGTGGGTGGTTGTCTGCGGGGTTGGCACGCCTGGGACCAGTCCTGATGACGTCATGCCAAACAAACGTTGTGTGTTTTCCAGGTTGATTGACGACCAGTCTTGTTTACCTGGGTTACACAGTCTCCATCTTCCTCATACACTTCTCTACCTCACTCTACTTTGGTCAGGCAACCATTAAATAATTAGCAAGGTACAAAATATAAATACATTGATCGTAGACATGGAGAGAAGTGCAGACCTGTCAAGAGTATTGCTTACAGAGGTTCCCAACTTGTTGCTGCTGTTGTATCAAAGGCTACAACGGCGTATTCCACTTGACTCTCGTCCAATGGTATCAAACTACGACCCGAAGTCCGACTTAACAGTAGGACTACTGCAGTGCTCTGTCACTGTTATAAGAATGACGGAGCGTTTCTGTAGGCCTATGCCGAGCAAGTCTTAGTCAAAATCCCAATAGTCAAAGACCCCAATGGAAGTAAGTCACTTAGACTTTTTGGGGTTATCCTATGTAATTTACATACATGTTAGGTAAAAGGACACAAGTGCAGTTAATGTGACATTTTATTGTGGCAACGTTTCGCTCTCCAGGAGCGGCTTGACAAAGCTCATGGAGAGCGAAACGTTGCCACAATAATATGGCACATTAGTTGCACTTGTGTCCTTTTACCATCGTTATTACAATTTATACATATCTTACTATGTATGATAATTTGTGTAAGTGTATTTATGTATACCTGTACCTAAATAAACTTACTCGAAACAGTTTATATGGGGGTGTTAAGTAAAGATGGTCAGTTTATATGAGGTGTTAAGTAAAGAGAATCAGTTTATATGGGGGTGTTAAGTAAACATGGTCAGTTTATATAGGGGTGTTAAGTAAACATGGTCAGTTTATATAGGGGTTTTAAGTAAACATGGTCAGTTTATATGGGGGTGTTAAGTAAACATGGTCAGTTTATATAGGGGTTTTAAGTAAACATGGTCAGTTTATATGGGGATATTAAGTAAACATGGTCAGTTTATATGGGGTGTTAAGTAAGCATAGTCAGTTTATATGGGGGTGTTAAGTAAATACGGTCAGTTAATATGGGGTGTTAAGTAAATAGTCAGTTTATAAGTGGTGTTAAGTAAACATGGTCAATTTATATGGGGGTTTTAAGTAAACATGATCAGTTTATATGGGGGTAAGTAAACATGGTCAGTTTATATGGGGGTGTTAAGTAAACATGGTCAATTTATATGGGGGTATTAAGTAAACATGGTCAGTTTATTAGGTAAGACACATACGCAACAGTTAGGTATCTTTATTTCGAAACGTTTCGCCTACACAGTAGGCTTCTTCAGTCGAGTACAGAAAAGTTGATAGAAGCAGAAGATACTTGAAGACATCGTCTTCAAGTATCTTCTGCTTCTATCAACTTTTCTGTACTCGACTGAAGAAGCCTACTGTGTAGGCGAAACGCTTCGAAATAAAGATACCTAACTGTTGCATATGTGTCTTACCTAACAATCTGTCGGTATTTTATACCATTTTAATGTTCATGGTCAGTTTATATGGGGGTATTAAGTAAGCAAGGTCAGTTTATATGGGGGTATTAAGTAAACATGGTCAGTTTATATGGAGGTATTAAGTAAACATGGTCAGTTTATATGGGGGTATTAAGTAAACATGGTCAGCTTATATGGGGGTATTAAGTAAACATAGTTTATATGGGGGTATTAAGTAAACATGGTCAGTTTATATGGGGGTATTAAGTAAACATGGTCAGTTTATATGGGATATTAAGTAAACATGGTCAGTTTATATGGGGGTATTAAGTAAACATAGTTTATATGGGGGTATTAAGTAAACATGGTCAGTTTATATGGGGGTATTAAGTAAACATGGTCAGTTTATATGGGGTATTAAGTAAACATGGTCAGTTTATATGGGGGTATCAAGTAAACATGGTCAGTTTATATGGGGGTATTAAGTAAACATGGTCAGTTTATATGGGGGTATTAAGTAAACATGGTCAGTTTATATGGGGTATTAAGTAAACATGGTCAGTTTATATGGGGGTATTAAGTAAACATGGTCAGTTTATATGGGGGTATTAAGTAAACATGGTCAGTTTATATGGGGTATTAAGTAAACATGGTCAGTTTATATGGGGGTATTAAGTAAACATGGTCAGTTTATATGGGGTATTAAGTAAACATGGTCAGTTTATATGGGGGTATTAAGTAAACATGGTCAGTTTATATGGGGTATTAAGTAAACATGCTCAGGCGTTAAGGTAACCTTGTAAAATATCGTTTAGATCAAGGTGGCTACACAGTGAGCTTTTATAAATATTGTTACCAAGACAGGACAGTATTAATGACAGAATATATTAGACACGTGTTAGACGGAATATAATAAGACACATGTGCAACAGAGATACTCTAGTGTTGCAAGTGTCTGATTGTGACGTAAAAGGACACAAGTGCAGCTAATGTGACATTTTATTGTGGCAACGTTTTGCACTCCAGCACTTTATCAGCCGTAACACGGCTTAATGAAACGTTTCGCCCACACAGTAGGCTTCTTCAAATACACCTTTTCCCTCTGTATCTGACTGAAGAAGTCTGCTGTGCAGGTGAAACGTTTCATCAGTAAAGATTCACAACTGTTACACATGTGTCTTAATCTTCAAAGAAATAGATGGGTGGAGAGTGGCACCATTTGGCCAACCAGTGGCTTTATAAAGCCACTGGTTGGAGAAACGTCTACAAATAAAGATACCCAGATGTTGCACATGTGTCTAATTCTTTATCATGTCGGTATTGTATACCATTTATGTACAGGTTGGTATCAGTCTACCCATCTAAGCAAAACCATGTACTCTGACCACATACATTGCATGTATTAATTTTATTTTTCTCAACGGAGGAGGAGGAGAGAGAGAGAGAGAGAGAGAGAGAGAGAGAGAGAGAGAGAGAGAGAGAGAGAGAGAGAGAGGAAGGGGTGGGAGAGGGGGAGTGGGTGGGGGTGCCATCAATGAGTGGAGGTGGTGGGGGCAGCAACAGGGCATGCGTCACTCCAGTGGAAACTCCCCCGTACGCTGTGCACGTGATGCCTCCGGAAGTTCTCCCCCACACTACCCTGCTTTGTAAAAAAAAAAATAAAAGTGTGGATTAAAATTGGCAGATATAACATGACCCAAGTAATGGCTGGTGATGACACCTTGCCTGCTGGTTGCGAGGGTAGAGTAAACGAAGGTTTCTCTCATATTTTTCTAGCTACTGTTGTTTATCCCCCCTCACCTTGGCGATGCTATTGTTTGACAACAAACATATTTTGACCCAAATAACAAGCCACTAGCAACACCTGAGGTCAAAATATATAAATCTGAACCTTATTGATCAACAAAGCCAAGGCGCACACCTTAAGTTGCCAGTTCCTATATAAATCAGTTACATATTTTAGTGAATAATTACCCAATATAATAAAGTACCTTTTTAAAGCTTTAACACCGTAATTAGCATGTCTTTGCCTTTATGGCTAGTAAAGCGATTAAAGAATGGCATTTAACGTGGTTATTTAGAATGTATCCTGGTTGAAGGTGCCAAATGCAGGTGGTTCCCTTAGTGCGCATGAGCAGTGACGTCAAGGCTCCTATATAAAGGCCAGAAGCAGGGTTTGGGGTATAGATTTTCTTCTCTCACCAATGGCCGTGCCCACTGCTCTTAGATAATACTGGAGTAACCTTAGTGGTTTTTATTTATTTTATAACTGCTGTAAAACTAAGGTAAGTCTTATTCTCGCATTTTGTGACTACATATTGTGCTGCTTCATAACTATCAATTTGAGTTTGTTTAATTAAAATCTTGTTGATTTTATAGCAGACTTAGGCCCTATTGCTTATATTTGTACGAAGTATCATTTCTTATAATTGTTTAACTGGGGTATTTCCTATTTCTCAGAAAACCTCAAAATGTTTACAACAAGCACCGCTACCAACAAGACTGTGCTAGACAGGTACCTGAGGCTGCCCATTCCTGACAACAAGTGTCAGGTGATGTACGCCTGGATAGACGGCTCTGGCGAGAACCTGCGCTCAAAATCTAGGACAGTCAACTTCATCCCAAAAAGTCCCTCAGGTAACTTTGAAAGTTTCACAGCTGCTGACCAGAAGGTAGTCGTGCGGTTCTTTAAATTCCATACTAATTGTTCTAGGTATTGATCACACAAGAAGCTTTTTCAGTTTGAACGTAACACATTAGGGCATTTCAATACGTTATATAGCTTTTATTAAACTTTTCTCTACTTTAAACTTTTAATTAAAAGTGTGTAAACACCTGACCTACTAGTGGCTGTGGGTTAGCCATGGCGCAGGAGGCGCCGCCCCAGATCAATACTCCCTACAGGGTAAGAGGATGGGAGGAAAGATGCATGGTATAGGTGGGAGAAGGTTCTATCGCTGCCAAACATAAGATACTCCTATCTCTTAAATAAAAAATCTATCCATATTAATGGTTTTTTTTTTTTTTTACTTTTCAGAACTTCCTATCTGGAATTTCGATGGCTCATCAACTAATCAGGCGGAGGGCAGCAACAGCGATGTGTACCTGCATCCCGTAGCACTATACAGAGACCCCTTCAGGCTGGGCGACAACAAACTAGTTCTCTGCGAGACTTACAAACACAATAAGAAGCCCACAGAAACCAATCATCGCCACAGATGTCTTGAGGTGTGCACTAAGGCAGCAGACACTCATCCATGGTTCGGCATGGAGCAAGAATATACTCTTTTAGACACCGATAATCACCCATTGGGCTGGCCCAAGAATGGCTTCCCAGGCCCTCAGGGTCCCTACTACTGTGGCGTGGGAGCCAACAAGGTCTACGGCAGAGATGTGGTAGAGGCTCACTACAGGGCGTGTCTATATGCTGGTATCAACATCTCTGGAGAGAACGCAGAAGTAATGCCAGCACAATGGGAGTTCCAGGTGGGTCCCTGTGAAGGCATCACTATGGGTGACGACCTCTGGATGGCCAGATACCTCCTTCACCGCGTCGCTGAAGACTTCAATGTTGTGGTGTCCCTGGACCCCAAGCCCATCCCTGGCGACTGGAATGGTGCTGGAATGCACACTAATTTCTCTACCAAGGGGATGAGAGACCCCAATGGTATCTCTGAAATCGAGAAAGCTATTGACAAGCTCTCCAGACACCACATTCGTCACATCAAAGCTTATGATCCCAAAGAGGGCAAGGATAACGAGAGGCGTCTAACTGGCCTACATGAAACTTCCTCTATTCACGATTTCTCTGCAGGTGTAGCAAACAGGGGCTGCTCAATCCGCATCCCACGGGGTGTGGCAGAGGAGAAGCAGGGATATTTGGAAGATCGTAGACCTTCTTCCAATGCAGATCCTTATATGGTTTCTGAGGTGCTGGTCCGCACCATATGTCTAGACGAGTAGGTAAAAAGAGGTACCAGAACATAATACTCTCAGGGGAGACAAGATCTTGACAGTAATCGTCCCTGCGTCTCCACCTATCAATATTAGTGACAAGCAGCTCCTCGCAGCTGTAAGATAGGGACCAACTCAATTTCATTTCCTATATCAATTTCATTTTCCAGGAATTTTTTTTACCACATTTAACATTTACCTCATTCACTTACTAAATGCCATTTACCATCCATTAACCTCTTACCATCTTCATTTAGTTTTTAACTGTCTACGTCATCCTGTGTACGGTATAATTTGACCTATGTCGAGTAAAAGTATTATTTTGTGATATACGTATTTATCATCTTATTGTCCATAATGTAAATAAGAAATTTTAATGTACCGCATATGATTTTAGATTGTGTAGCTAGGTAAAATTTTAATAATATAATTACAAATAACCCATTACATACCTATGTATTACGAATGTATAATTTTCCTGTGGGTGGCGTAGTTCTTAGTCTTAACTGGGCTTTGACAAGGTCACCATAAAACCACGTTAACCTTCTACACCACTGGCACGTATAATGAAATTAAACGATGCATCAGTTAAAAAAAAAATAAAATGCTAAAAGCTTTGCTTACGGTTAGACTGATTACTGAAACTAGGTTTAAGCGCATAACCTGTAATATGCAGTTATGCGGTATGTGAACACACAACTAGTCGCTGACAAATTAAAATGTCACGTACAGAAGATATCGTTCGAAAATACATATGGTACCTTTCAATCTTGCCACCAGAACTGAAATTTAATTAAAGCCCTCCTTGTGGCTTAGCGCTTCTTTTTGATTATAATAATAATTAAAGCCCTGATAAGTGGGAATACACGCAAATAAAACCGTCGAGGAATACCTTGCTAAATTCCATTAGTTTCTACCGGTGAATACATGAAGTAGACAACTGATAGGAGAAAAGGAACGATAGCTACTAAGAGAGTAGGCCCTTAAAATTACGACGTTCAGTTTCAAGCGTAACTTTCAGCATTCGTTATATGGTAAGCCGTACTACCGTGATTAATTATTTTAAAGATCTGTATCTAGTGCAATGCCCCGGCGTCTGAGGATTCAGTATATAAATACAGTAAATTGTGGGTTATAGTAATCATAAAATTCGTCCCCTAAAGACTTGTATAAAGTGGTGGGAAGAGGTACAGAGGTGAAAACCAGGTAGATGAGGTTTTGAGTTCTAAATGTTGGACAGGACAATAACCATACCACATATAAACTAAATAATGTAGATCTTAATATTACGGATTGCGAAAAAGATTTAGGGGTTCTGGTTAGCAGTAATCTGAAACAAAGACAACAGTGCATAAGTGTTCGCAATTAAGCTAATAGAATCCTTGGCTTCATATCAAGAAGCATAAATAATAGGAGTCCTCAGGTTGTTCTTCAACTCTATACATCCTTGGTTAGGCCTCATTTAGATTATGCTGCACAGTTTTGGTCACCCTATTACAGAATGGATATAAATTCTCTGGAAAATGTACAAAGGAGGATGACAAAGTTGATCTCGTGTATCAGAAATCTTCCCTATGAGGATAGACTAAGGGCCCTGAATCTGCACTCTCTAGAAAGACGTAGAATTAGGGGGGATATGATTGAGGTGTATAAATGGAAGACAGGAATAAATAAAGGGGATGTAAATAGTGTGCTGAAAATATCTAGCCTAGACAGGACTCGCAGCAATGGTTTTAAGTTGGAAAAAATCAGATTCAGGAAGGATATAGGAAAGTACTGGTTTGTTAATCGTTGTGGATGAGTGGAACAAACTCCCGAGTACAGTTAGAGGCCAGAACGTTGTGTAGCTTTAAAAATAGGTTGGATAAATACATGAGTGGATGTGGGTGGGTGTGAGTTGGACCTGATAGCTTGTGCTACCAGGTCGGTTGCAGTGTTCCTCCCTTAAGTCAATGTGACCTGACCTGACTAGGTTGGGTGCATTGGCTTAAGCCGGTAGGAGACTTGGACCTGCCTCGCATGGGCCAGTAGGCCTTCTGCAGTGTTCCTTCGTTCTTATGTTCTTAAGAGCAGCTGAGGTTAAATGATCGCCTAACCTCGCCTACTCTGCGGGCGACTCTCAAGTGAACATTGCTTGCCTAGTTGTCTCGCCGGAGGACGCCTCACCAACCCTTGTATATACATAGTCCCTGGTAGATAACTCATTTAATAAAATACCATAACTGTCTTATGTCGTGTTGGGTTGCGTTAACAATTTATTCAAGCACACCAGTGTCTTTGTGCTCACTCTGACCTCTTCAGAAGTCCCTTCAATGTAGATTAGATTAATTTTAACAAACGCACTGCAGCAACCATGACTCCGATTCTGCACTAACCTTCACTACTCTTGCTACAATAAGTGCACCGCTCGGTTGTGTAAAATACTTTTGGTTTGCTGCTCTCGTATAAAATGTGGAATAATATACAGGAAACAATGACAGATACTTCATCTTTCCTACAGGTAAGGTGCCCACCAAATCTTTAAAAAAAAAAAAAAAAAAAAAAAAAAAAAAAAAAAAAAATGGTTACTTAGGCAGTGAAGGACGTATTGTGCTACCGTGGATGTTCGTTATCTCCTGAACTCGGAAAGAAGTGCTGGACCACACTGCTGAATTTAGGCCATAGGTACTCAGATCATTTTTGACTAGGCTTGAATCTTCTAGGTTTGGATCATCTAGGTCCGGGCTTGAATCTTACTGATTCAGGTTTGATCTTTAAATTTGAGGCTTAGATCTAGTTTGTTAGATCTAGTTCTATGCTTACATCTAGGTCCAGAGTTAGGTCTCGACCCTTGATATACGTTACAGTTCAAAGTTTTACTACTACCCGAGTGCGACCATGAGCCAGGCTCGTCTGGTGCGTTCCTAGTCAACCAGGCTGTTGCTGCTGGTGGCCCCTCTGACCCACATATCCACCAGAGTCTAGCTGATCTGGCACTGGTGAAAATACTTGTCAAGTTTCCTCTTTGAGACTTCTAAACTTGTTCCTGCAGTGTTTTTGATATTTTCTGGTAAGATACTGAGTAGTCTGGAGCTCCGGACGTATTTCCATTATTGTGCCCTGGTCACAGACCGGGCCGCGGGGGCGTTGACCCCCGGAACTTTCTCCAGGTAAACTGCACCCTTGCTTTTCACCCCTACTTTGCACTTCTCTCCATATCTCTTCAGTACGTTTAAGGCAGTGTGAAGATTTGGGATAAGGCCCTTAAATACTTTTCGGTATATATTATCATGTATCTTTCTCTCAGCTCCAGTAAATACATGTTTGGGAAGGTGTTCCCAGCAAATGTTTTATTAGCTCGATGGAGGCCGTAACGATCTCTATCTGTTCCAGCTCTGATATTTCCTGCCCTGGACGGGGCCGCCAACACTGAACAATAATCCAAATGAGAGAACACGAGCTACTTGAAAAGTCACCAACTGCATTATTTCCTTTGTTTTGAAAGTTCTCATTATCCACCTCAACATTCTGGCTGTCGTGACGTTGGGTTTATTGTGTTCTTAGAAAGGTCAGCTGACATACTTATTCCCAAGTCTTTCATGTGTTCCTTTCGTTCTGTTGGACGACCCACTTGAGTTTTGTATACAGTATCCCATTATAATTTATTCTCTCCACAGGTAATTAAGCAGCTGAAATTTATCACCATTGAACGTTTTGTTGTTCTTCATTGTCCACTGGAAAATGCTGCTTATAAATCTCCAATTTTGCAGTGTCTTCCACCAAAGTGACTTTCATGCTTATTTTAGTGTCATCTACAAATAACATTTGCTCCAAACATGGTTTCACTTCATTGAGGAGCCTATTAATATTTATAACTTGTTCAGACTTTCCTCCTAGGTCCAGGCATAGATCTACTTTGTCCAGGTATAGATTACCCAGGGATCTGTTTTTGTGGGAATGTGTAACTAACTGGCTCCCTTCACGAGGATGTTGTTGCTGAGGAAGGGATCTTCATCTAAGGAATTGGAACTACAATCCCCTCTAAAACCTGGTTATCTCCATTTCCCAGGTGTTGCAACATTTGTGGGTTTAGCGCTCTCCCATCATATTAACACGCTGATTATCCATCCTCTACCATCCTGCAATGCACAACCAATCATCACTATACTAAGTTAATTTTCTAACTAGTTCCAACGTAATCTGTTCTAAACGTTTTCTGTACACTTCTTTAAAGTAGCCAAATCAAGCTACAAAACTTTTCAAAACGTATATGTAACCCATGTAACGTTTAAAAATGAGGTAAGACGTCTCAACGTGTTAGGGTCAGTAAGCAGGTACCTGGGTGTCAGTCCCACCTGGTGTCTGTATTCATCTAGCAGTAAATGGGAATGCGGGTGTTAGTTTCCTCATAACGGACGCACAGAAGCAGTGTAATGAGAACCTTTATTGACAAAGTGGGCGTTATTAAATGGGCGAAACGTTATTAATGATGAATCTCCTTACTGCAAATTTGTCTCGTTTCCATCGCGTCTTGTATACCATTTCTCTCCACCAGTTTTCACCTGTCACTTAAATAGATACCTGGGTGTTGTTCTTTTTACCGGAAACGGTTATATTTGCCAGAGTGCTTCCACTGTGCGCTTGCATTGGTTTAAGATGATGGTTAACAGTTTTACCCTTGACAGACGCTGTGGCAGAAAGGAAACCTTTAAGGACACTTGACTTAGTGACAGTTTCATTTTTTACGGTGTTATATACAGGCTAAGAGCTGAACATTAAAATGGTATAAAATACCGACAGGTTGTTAGGTAAGACACATATGCAACAGTTAGGTATCTTTATTATGAAACGTTTCGCCTACACAGTAGGCTTCTTCAGTCGAGTACAGAAAAGTTGATAGAAGCAGAAGATACTTGAAGACGATGTAATCAGTCCATCACCCTTAAAGTTTTGAGGTGGTCAGTCCCTCAGTCTGGAGAAGAGCATTGTTCCATAGTATGGAACAATGTTTCATTCCATGGAACAATGCTCTTCTCCAGACTGAGGGACTGACCACCTCAAAACTTTAAGGGTGATGGACTGATTACATCGTCTTCAAGTATCTTCTGCTTCTATCAACTTTTCTGTACTCGACTGAAGAAGCCTACTGTGTAGGCGAAACGTTTCGAAATAAAGATACCTAACTGTTGCATATGTGTCTTACCTAACCACTTATCTACATTAAACTTCATCTGCCATTTCTCAGACCAAGACATTAATTTGTTCAAATCGTCCTGGAGTTCATTGATATCCTCCTCAGAGTGAATTATACGGCCTATCTTTGTATCATCAGCAAACTTACTCATGTCACTAGTAATCCCTTCATCAAGGTCATTAATGTAAATTATGAACAGGAGGGGGCCTAAAACTGATCCTTGTGGAACGCCACTAGTGACTAATCCCCATTCAGATTTCACTCCATTAATGGTAACTCTCTGCTTTCT